CCTTGCCTTTGTAGAGGAAGATGTGGATCAGAAGAATATGGTTGGCCTGGTGGAGGGATTATCATCTTGCGGGCCTGTTCCCATGAAGGTGACAGGGGCCCAGTGCCAGAAGGTACTCTCTGAAGATCAGTGAACCTATCACAGCTGGATTCTCTTCTTTCACTGCTAGTCGGATGGTCCAGAGGATTCTCCGGGCCCTTTGAGCCTCTTCCTCCTCCCATTGGAGCCAAAGGTGAGAGTGTGAGTGGACCCTTCTTTTCCAAATGGGGAGGTCTCCTTTCAGATGAAGGCCACCCCAATGGTGAGGGCCCATTTGGGGAAGGCTTTCTGCCCAATGCTGAGTTGGAAAATCCAGTGCATGATATGGATCTTTTTCTACAGAAACTTCTTAAAAAGTAGTTTACAATGACTTATTCCCATCCTAATAACTCCTCAAGCTCATATCCTGTGGTTCTAGCCCCCAGAAGGCCAATGCAAAAGTTCTTAACCAGTTCAGGCATTTCCCTGTGCTCCCATGTGATCTGTACTGTAGGATCCCCATATCATTTTCAGGATTTACCAAGATACAGAAGTACAGTGCCTGCCATATAGCTTGGGATCAATAAGTGCCTACTATTCTGTTCACATTCAGAGTAAGAGACCCCCAGCCGCTTGGCCACCAAGAGAGGACACTGAAGCAGGAATCAAAGCATTGCAGAAGGAGCAGTTCACATAGTTAGCTTTGGATTTGTCTTAGATATTCCACTCTGATTAAGTGGACTGTGAGAAATCCACAATTTCCAAAACTGTCTTCTCATTTGTAAATGAGGAAATTGAACTAGATCTGTGGGGTTTTTTGGTTTGTTTGATTTTGTGCTGCTGGGGATCAAACCCAGGGCCTAGTGCATACAAGGCAAGCACCCTACCAACTGAGCAATATCCCCAGCCCCTAGATCTGTAGTTTTTAAAGTATCATATCCCCAGACCCTGGGTCTGTAGTTTTTAAAGTATCATCTGAGTTTCCATGGAGGTACTTAAGGGTCCTTTATAGTAAGCATGTTGTACAGATATGAAGTCCACCTCCTTCAACCCAAGTAGCAATCCTTTTATCTATTTATATAACTATGATTGAGCATAGGATTTCATTTTTAAAAAGAACTCTGCTAGTAAGAAGTTTGAAAACCAGTAGATCCCTCCACCTGGAGTGCTTTCTCATCCACTCTTTCATTTACTTCTACTCATCCTTTAAGTGTCAGTGTAAATGTCACCTTTGCAGTGAAGTTCTCCCAAATACACACCCCAATTAAATTATGTTAGGGAAATAGGTACTAAGATACAGTTAGAAAGGAACAAGTTCTGTTGTGCTATTACACAGTAGGATGACTAGAGATAATAGTAATAAACTATAGATTTTAAAAAACTAGAAGAGGGATGGTGATGTAGCTCAGTGGTATGATGCTTGCCTAGAGAGCATGAGGCCCTGAGTTTGATCCCTGCAACACACAAGCTAAAAGAAAGGATTTTAAAAGTTTTCACCATAAAGAAATGATAAATGGATAAATGTTTGAGAGATATGCTTAACCTGATTTAAACATTATACAACATATACATGTAGTATATCAAAATCATGCATACATGTAGGTATCAAAGTAGAACATTAATGTGTATGTACAACTTTTATGTTTTAATATATCAGTTAAAACAAATTTAATTTTTTAAAATGGAAAAAAATGTACAAAAGGAACAAGAAGAGGAACTAACTTCAGAGGGAAGGGAAAGCTTCAAAGGGAAGATAACACCTTAACTGGATATTAAAGGAAAAACTAGAATTTGTCAAGTGGAGGGAAGAAAGGAGAAGGGCCTTTCACAGAGAAGAAATTTGCAGAATGGCACCAATTGAGAGTAGTAGAGGCAGCACATCTGCTGGGACAGAAATGCCATGCTAAAAAACTTGAGAGAGGAGGGGGATCCAAGTTGGAATGAGAAGACCATGGAATGGGGAAAGGGAAGCCAGAAGCCAAATAAAATATCAGAGATTACCCAACACTGTAAAGGTAAGTTTTATAAAACTTTACTCTAAGATACCTGTATACACTGTGGGTCACAAAGTAAAATGCATGTAACTACGGCTCAGGGTCAAAAAAAGTTTGAATTAGGTGATAGGTAAAGGGGTGGGAAGGAAAAGTCAAGAATTGCAGGTTTTTGGTATGGACACCTGAATGGATTCACAATGCCACTGGCCATGATAAGGAAAAGAGGAGGAGGGGTGCTTTTATCAGGTCCTCATAGGGATGCTGGATAACTCAGCAGCCTAGCAGTTTTTCAGCAGCCACGGTCAATTCTAATCTTGTTCAGCAAAGACAATGGACACATAGTCACTACGACTGCAAGCTCACATGAATACACAACTGATAACGGCCTTCTAGGAACTGGAAGGGTCCCAGTCCTAAATCCCAATTCACAGAAAAAGCATCTACTCTTCTTCCAGAGACCTAACAGGATGTGAGAAATTCTGCCCCTAGTCTAGGAGTCTACAAGGAACCATCACCCTTGGGAACACAAACAAGCACTCTGGAAAGTCTGCTACCAGGATATTTTTATTTATTAGGAGTTTGGTTTTGGTCTTGTTTGAGAGGGCTAGGGAAGTCTTTCTATTTTTATGACTGTTTTCAAAGCTTCCCCACCTCTCCTTCATAGCCCTACCTCCAAGAGGTATTTCAATCCCCATACCTCTAGCAAGTCTACTGAGCCCTAAAATTTGGAAATTGGCTATTCCTTGCTTACACTCCTGGAGCCTCAAGCAAAGAGGACAGAGCTCAAAGAACAACTTCTCTATAGATTTGAGATAGATCCATCACTCCTGTATCTCTTAGAGAGTTCTCCAATTCTTCTTGGAGGCTCACAGCACAATTGGTAGCATTTGATGACTTTTATGGTGACCTTTCCACTACATTCCTCCCCAAACTGGCTGCCCTCAAACATTCCATATTCTTGTATGTGTTCTGGCTTTTGCTCCTGATAATCTCTAACCTAACATGCCCTCCCTTGCTCTGACAGAAATTCTACTCCCACTTTGTGGCATATCTCAAATATTACCTCTGCTATTAAGCTACCCTTTATCCAATGCCCCTCTGACTTTCTGCCTCCAAATCTGGATTTGTGTACCACAGCACCTGCTTGTGCCCTGGACACAGCACTCTATTATCATCCAGTATGGACTGTGTATCATCCAGTTTGATCCCATACTTTTGTCTGCTTCCCACTGAACTAAAGTTTCTTGAACACAGATATTAAAGCCTTTCCAACACCCCATGGTCTTGAACACATAGTAGGTCCTAAGCTACTGATTCATTCCACCAACACCTGCAGATAATCAAAACTAAAGGCAAGGGAGAGGGTAAAAGGGAGAGCAAGTGTAGATCTGAAGCGGAAAGCCTCCCTCCCCTGCTTAACTGGTGGTGGTACACCCACTCCTCTGTGAAATTTAACCAGCCTCAGTAATGAAGGCTCAGTAAGCATAGTTTGGAAATTTTAAAGAACTACAAGTAGTTTCAAGGTTCTCCCAGCTGCTGTTAGTCAGGTATTGACCTTGGGATGTGGTCATAGGGATTATATATTTTATTTTGCCATCCACTCCCTCTACCAACTTTGATACCCCTAGCTATATGAGCAATAAAGAGTCTTTTATACAGGGTCTGAATATTATCTTTGAGCTCCTCTGGGAACAGTTTAGCCTTCTCTCAACCCTCCCACCTTTCCAGTGAGTAATTCTACAGTACCACCTCTGCAGTCCTCGGCTCTTGAAAAAGTAGTTTTCCTCTCACTATATCCAGCTTCCCTTCCACACCCTCTTCCTAACCTTCACCGTAAAGAGCAGAGGAAGACAGTGTGCCTTCTCAGCCACCTAAAAGCCATAGCACATTTCAAAGAATAACAGGTAAAGCTAGGAAGGGATTTGATATTGCAGCTTTCTCTGTGATCCCAACATCACTACTTATTCACATTTATTACAGAACTTAGCCATTTCAAATTATAACAGATCATTTTACATGTTTTAGTCTCCCCTATTACACTGTGAGATTCTTGAGAATCCAAGCAAAGTGTTCAGGACATAGTGCATTCAATAAACTAACAACTCAAGAAAAAATAACACAAAATAAAATGCCACCCTAGGCACCTTAGCCAAACTCAGTGATGGTGTGAGTTTAAACGAAACATTTCAGAAGTGATCAAAACCAAAAAGTCTTTATATAGTAGTGAGCAATGTGATGCAAGGCTCAGCTGAAGGCAATTTCAAACAAGGGTCCTTTTGACAGGGCGGCCATTGCCCACGTTCCTCAGATACTATGGTCAAAGTAGTAAACGTGGTTCTCCAGAATGTACTTCCCAAAGATCTGGCAGTTTGAAAATACATTCCCCAGCCCCCACTTCAACGACTCCTATATCCCTCTGACCTTTAATACTGTGTAACAGTAGATGAAAAATTGATTTTCTTTGGCTACTTATTTCATACCTGAAGAAAAAATATACTGTTTAAGGTGTCAAATATTTTTACACGCAACAAACCTGGCATGAATCTAACCTGTATGCACATTTTGGAGGTACAGGCGTAAATGTCAGTGCTATAATTTGTTATAGGGTTTCTGATGACCAGCAGTGAAAATGACCACGGTTTCTCACAATTCAAACCACTTTTACGTAAATGTGAACTTTTCCTAAAACAGCCAAGGGAGAGAACTTTCCATCCAAGCTCATAGAGTCCCTTAGAGATACTGATAGCATTGTTCACTGGGTTAGGTGTTCTTTCAAAAAAATCCTACAAATATTAGTTTCTTTCTGGGCCTATGCTTTGACCTTTAATAAAAATGTGCTTCAAGACACCAGTTATTAAAATGAAAGGAACAATTTTTCATGTCTGAACAACTGCCATTTCACATAATCAGGCCCTCAGAAGACCATACCTTACAAGTCAACAGTGTTTAAAAAAAAAAATGGTTACTTCATTTAAATTGCTCACTTACCAAACATGAAGTAGGGTTATAAGAAACCATGAATTGAAAGTATCAGGCATCTGGCACCCTAGAAAATAATAATAAAGCATAAATGTGAGAATTTAGATGAAGCATATTAATTATATTTAAAATACTGGTAAGGGTTTGTTCAATGAAAATATTTGGCAGTGTAGTACTCTCAGATTATGCTACTGCAGAGAAGAGCGGTGGAAACATAAGGCAAGACCATGGGCTGAAAGAGTACTGCATACAGTAGTCCAGCTTTCTAGTTTTAGCCTTTGCTATGTGGCCTTGGGCAAATCATGTCCTCCCTCTCAGTCTCAGTTTTCTCATTTTGCACAAGGTGGCCTAGAGTAGTCCCTAGGATACCCTCCAACTTCCACATGATTCTATAGTATTTTCCCTTCCTGGGCTTGAATTCTTTTTTTTTTTAAAATAAGCACTCTACTGACTAAGCTATATTCTCAGCCCTGATCTGTAATCTTTTTTTTTTTTTAATATTTTATTTACATTTTAGTTTTCGGCAGACACAACATCTTTGTTTGTATGTGGTGCTGAGGATCGAACCCGGGCCGCACCCATGCCAGGGGAGCGCGCTACCACTTGAGCCATATCCCCAGCCCCATGGGCTTGAATTCTAAAAATCTAAGCGAAGACCACCTCCCCTACTCTACTCAAATATCATCTTTTTTTCACTGTAGCCCTACTGAGAAATTTAAGCCTTTCTGGTCTCCTTTTCTTATCTTCTTTAAGGTGACCCAGTGGTGTGGTCATGGTTATACCTAACGATTTACCCAAATAACCAGGAGAAAAAAGTGGGATTCTTGAGAGTTGTAGCTGAACAAGAAAGCAGATTTTACCTAATCAAAGGCTTTCATCACCCCCAGGAATGACAAAACTGGGCAGGGCTTCTTCTTGGTTTCAGATCCCACAAATCAGATCTGTGATCAAACATCCAAGCCTCTCAATTCTCAGATCTCTAAAATGTTTCTGGCTGGAAAAGGGATCTCCCACTGAATGTGCCCTCCTTATTATATGACAAGGAGAAAAGTTGGAGCAAAAGGATGAAGAAGCAAGAGAATCTGAGAAATGTGGACACTTCTGGCAGAGTCTATCCTTTGGAGCAATGACTCAAGAAAGAAGTCGCATTCTCTTTCAGCTATTGATGAGGTATACAATGACTAAATGATAATGAATAGGGATCACTTGGAGATAAAAACATAGGCATGATCCTTTGAGGTACACTAACACCACCAATACTAATAAGGAGCAGAAATTCACTGCGGGTTTACTATGTGCCAGACATTATGTGCTTCACATGTATTAGCTCAACCAATCCTCCCAACAACCCTATTAGGTAAGAATTTATATTATCCTCATTTGACAGGTGAGAAAACTTAGAGAGATTAAGATAATTGCTCAAAGTCATATAGCCATGAAATAAGACACCTGGCATCAAATTCACATCTGCTTGATTCCAAATACTATACTCTTTTTGGTGGGGAGGGTGTGTGTGTTGTACAGGAAATTGAATCCAAGAGCTCTACCATGGAGCTATATCCCCAACCCTTTTTATTTTTTATTTTGAGACAGGGTCTCACTAAATTGCCCAGGCTGACCTTAAATTGGTAACCCACCTGCCTCTGCCTCCGGAGTCACTGGGATTACAAGCATACACCACAATGCCTGGCCCAAATACTGTGTTTTTAATTGCTACTCTAACTGCCTAAGAAGGGAAACCAACATCCAACAGGGCTCATGCTACATGCCAGGTCTACTACTAGTCATCTTAATATATTATCACACTTAATCCTCACTTTAACCCTGGAGGGAAGCATTGTAATCCTCTCTTTAGAGGTGAGGAAACAGACTCAGAAAGGCTAAGTGACTTGCGGGCAGCCACAATATTAAGATGCTAGTGGCAGGGCTGGGGTTTGAATCCAGGTCTGTCACTAAGTGACACCAAAATACTCTGGAGAACCTACTGGGAGGTGCCCTGCAGCTGTCAAGTGGACTTCCTCTCTGAGCCCAGCAGGAGGGAGGTGAAGGCTGGCCTGGCCAGGCTCAGCTATTAAGACACACGCCATCTGAGAGTGGGCCAACAGCCCTCCACCTAGAACCAGAATAGCCCTGAGAAACTCTCAAGCCTGGATCTGAAGTTGGGTCTTTTCTTGGATGCTAGAACAAAACATTAAAAAGAAAAGTTTTCTTGGAAGTCTGTCTTTCAATCTGGAAAATGAAATTTGGCTGCTTCTAAAGGACAATCTGTTCAACTGCTAACTCTACATCAAAGCTTCTCAGCAGCCTCCAGGAGCCTTTCCAATTTTCTCAGAGAGGGAATCAGCACTTAGACTGGAAAGCACAGACAGACAGACAGGCCAGCAGCTGGACCTGGGTCACAATTTCCCCTTCTTGGGGTCAGCTCAGGGCTGAGGATGAGAAGAGAGCTGGTACATGATTGAGTCCTTGTACCCACTGGTGTTGAAACAGAAACCCACAGAGAAAAGCCCTAAAAAATAACACCAATGAAGGCTGACTGTGAGCAACACAAAAGTACAGCAGATTCTTTAGCTCGACCAAAAGTCCTTACATACTTCAAAATTAAAACCTGCAAAAGCCTTTGCAATGATCACATTCCTCTAGCGCATATATGGAGCATTATTTTCTGAGACTAGGTACACTTCCTTTCTTTACACCAAGTTAAAAAAAAATTAAATAATCCATCACTGTTGAAGGAAGGCAGTATTAACACATTTTAATATGGGGTCAGGCTGGGTACTTTTAATCCCAGCAGCTCGGGAGGTTGAGGCAGGAGGATCACAAGTTCAAGGCCAGCCTCAGCAATGGCAAAGCGCTAAACAACTCAGTGAGACCCTGTCTCTAAATAACATACAAAATACGGCTGGGGATGTGGCTCAGTGGTCAAGTGCCCCTGAGTTCAATCCCCAGTACAAAAATAAATAAATTATATATATACACACACACACACACAGAGTCAGACTGTATGGTTCAAAACCTTGACTCTTTCCCTTACTTACTACATGACTCTGGGTTAAGTTACTTAGCCTCTCAGTGCCTCAGCTGTCTTCTCTGTATAAATGGGGAGAATAAGATAACCTACCTTAAACAGTCTTTGTGAGGATTCAATTAGCTAAGGCCTATAAAATGTTTAATGAAATGGTTTGTATTTAATAGGCACTCAAAAATACTTGTTATTGTTTTACAATGAATTATTTAAATATTAGGGTTTAAATTATCTTTGAAAATCCTTACTAATAGTTAAGATTGCATCAAAAAAATGACAGGGGTGAACCTTGACTGAGTTTTGAACTAAGAACTTATTAATTAAGGCTTCTCATCTCCAAGGTAATCAGCTTCTTAAGGACTAATGACAAAAACTCTGCAGGCAATGGTGTGGGATTAAATAAGTTTTACTGATTGGCCACCTCTACTCTAGTGGTTTTTTTTTTTTTTTTCGTACGGGGGATTGAACTTAGGGGCACTCAACCACTGAGCCATATCCCCAGCCTTATTTTTTTTTTTTTTTAAGAGACAGGATCTCACTGAATTGCCCAGTGCCTCACTTTTTGCTGAGGCTGGCTTTGAACTTAAGATCCTCCTGCCTTAGCCTCCTAAGCCACTAGGATTACAAGCGTGCACCACGTCGCCTGGCCAAACTGCTCTTAGTAGAACTGATCTCCTAACACCAGTCAGAAAACTGCCATGTATTGTAGGCATGCTGCTCACTTATGATGGGCAAGGGGCATTATTCAAACATCTTAGAAACAAAAGCAGTTGCTCATATTAGAAACAACAGTAGCTGAAAAAAAATTTTTTCATTTTAACACTTATTATAAAAAATGTGCTGCATAGAGAGAGGCTGGGGTTGTGGCTCAGCAGTACAGCGCTGGCCTCACACAGGCACCACATAAAAATAAATAAATAAAATAAAGGTACTGTGTCCAACTACCACTAAAAAATATTTTTTTAAAATGTGCTGCTTTCCAATATTTATGAATTCTCTAAACATCCATTTTTTATAAACTTCTGACAATAATTTTGTAATCAGAGAAGAAAATCTATTTATTTTCAACAATTAAATTCAATTAGACTTAAAAAAGAATGAAAGAAAAGAAATAACAGAAGCTACTAAGGTATCTTATCACTCAGAATCCCCAATATCTAACTCTCTAGATTTAAACCTATGAACACCAAGGCTGTGAAATGACAGAGAGTCTGTAACTCTTTTGTGAGAGACTGTCCAGGAGTTTGACAGGCATAACATATTGTGAGTAAACAACTCACTAACATATAATCCTTAAGAAAGGGCTCTAGCTTCACTTTTGCTGAGGAAGGATAATGCTGGCCAGTTGCCTGAGGCTCTCAAGTCTCAGGACTCTAAAAGGTAAGCCCTACAAAATCAAACATCAGAGTGAACAATGGCCAATGTAAAGGTGTGACAGGATATGTGTTTGTGTTTGTGTGTGTGTGTATGTGTGTGTGTGTGTTTCCTTTTCTGATTCTAAACTTGCCTGGCCTACTCTATAGAATCCAAGGGACAAGAAATTCTCATTATTTTAAAGATTTTTTTTTTTAATCTTTTGCCTCCAGATGGTACTTTCCAAATGTGCTCCCTTTTTATTCACTCGCCGTACTTGAAACCACTTTGGTTTGATTTTAAAACTTAACCTACCCATGAATGATAAAGATGAGCATACTACAAATGAACTACTATTGGTCTTTAAAGGCAATTTTCTAAGTCTTAGAAAATCTTAGACCCTAGAGAGGTGTCACTGAAATATTTACTGACACCTTAGACAACTATATTGAATGACAAAGCTAAGACAAAGCCCGCTGAGATATATACACCATAGCATATAGAAACAGTTTATACAACACTAACACACATCTCACAGATGTGGCTCTCATTGAAATATAATCAAGTATGCTGGGTGCAGTGGCACATGCCTATAATCCCAGTGCCTTGGGAGGCTAAGGCAGGACGATCACAAATTCAAGGCCAGCCTCAGCAATTTAGTGAGTTCCTAAGCAATTTGGCAAGACCTTATCTCAAAAAACAAAAAGGGCTAGGGATGTGGTTCAGAGGTAAAGCATCTGGGTTCAATCCCTAGTACCAACATAATAGTAAAACTATTAATATAGATCACAATTCCTAACTTGCAGTTATATTCATTCACAGGCAATGTTACAGTGGGAAAATCTCTAGATTTTAAGAAAGACAACACAGGTACAAGGCCTGGCTCTCAACTGTTTCTGAAAACAAGACAAAAATAAACTTTTCTTAAGTTTGTAGTTTATAACAGGCTATGAATTGAAACTTGACATATTAACTTAGATATGTAATAATAATCTTATTATCCGACACTATAATACAATATAATAGCTAAAGAACCTTCAATAATGAGGAGCTTATTAAAACAAAATAGCTAGTAAACATTCTTTTAAATTAAGTATACTAAATTTAAGTTATTTGTTGAATAAAATAATAATAGATATCTGAGGATGAAGTTTTTATTCAAAAAAGCAGCCAGATATGGTGGCACACACCTGAAATCTCAACTACTCAGGAAACTGAAGCAGGGATAACAGGTTTGAAACCAGCGTGGGCAACTCAGCAAAATCTTGTCTAAAAATAAAATTAAAAAAAAAAAAAAAAGAAAAGAACTGTCGGACTGGGGTTGTAGCTCAGTGGTACAGCACTTGCCTAGCACATGTGAGGCACTGGGTTGGATCCTCAGCACCACATAAAAATAAATTTTAAAAAATAAAGGTATTGTGTCCATCTACAATTAAAAAATTTTTTTAAAAAAGAACTGGGGCCAAGTGCAGTGGCACAAGTCTGTGATCCTGGTGGCTTGAGAGGCTGAGGCAGGAGAATGGCAAGTTCAAAGCCAGCCTCAGTGAAAGCGAGGCACTAAGCAATTCAGTGAGACCATGTCTCTAAATAAAATACAAAACAGGGCTGGGGATGTGGCTAGGTGGTCGAGTGCCCCTGAATTCAATCCCCAGAACCCAAAAAGAAAAGAAAGACTGGAGATGTAGCTCAGTATGCACAAGGAACTGGGTTCAATACCCAGCACCACAAATAAAAGAAAAAGAAAAAGAAAAAAATATGTATGTATATATGATGGGATATATTTAAGTATATGAATTCAAGAAACCACTTAAGGAAAAAAATAGCTTTTAATAATAATAGTTTATTCATTATGTAGGAAAGTATATTTCCTCCTTTTGGACTAATTCATCCTACAATGAGAAATTGTTATAGCTTTTAACAAAGAATAAGTAAGAAATGGAAAATGGACAATTAATTGGGATTACAACTGAATATGGTACTTCAAGTCTCTAATGTCAGTCTGCTGAAACAGTAAAATAAAACAACTTGTGTTTGATTTTTAAAAACAGAATAGTTATTGGGGCTGAGACTGCAGCTCAGTGGCAGAGCACTCGCCTAGCACATGTAGGCACTGGGTTCAATCCTTAGCACCACATAAAAATGAAACAAATAAAATAAAGGCATGCTGTCCATCTATGACTACAAAAAAAATTTTTTTAAACAGAATAGTTATTAAATAATCAAGACTGCATCTATCTTTCTTCATTATTGCTAACATTATACAATAATGAACATTACTGCAACGCATTATAAATGTGTGGTCAGAAAACAATATCAGATTCATAAACCTTCTAGGTGTTTGCTCTTTTGAGGAAATGGCTATACTATAGCACGCTCTTCTAAAATCTGTGGAACTGGAAATGGTTTCAATTCTTCCAGTAATTTCATAAGTATTCATTTTAATTAACTTTGTTAATAGCTACAACAGTTTATAGCATCAAAATTAATATTGTATTGATAAAATCAACTGCCAGGGGAGGTCTAAGCTAGTAAAACCCTTTTGGAAAGCAATTTATCAATCAACTATAAACAATAAAATTATATGAGCCTTTTAAACCAATAGTCCTTTAACAGAAGAAAAATCTTGAGGCTTACTCCAGAATTGACTAAAACAATTAAAAACTAGAAACAAAGGAAGAATGACTGGCAAAAAGTCCATGTCAAAATGCTAACTAAGGGCTGGGGCTATAGCTCAGTGGCAGAGTGCTTGCACTCTAAGCACATGTGAGGCACTGGGTTCGATCTTTAGCACTGCATAAAAATAAACAAATAAAATAAAGGCATGCTGTCCACACACAACTACCCTCCCAAAAAATTTTTTAAATGCTAATTAAAACATCCTCAATGTAAAACAGGTATGGTCACTACAAGTTCTCTGACTTAAAAAAGACACATGTACAGGAGGATGATAAAGTCAAAGTACTAGACAAATTTGTAGGGGTTTTCCAAATTTGTTTAAAAAAAATGATTTATTTCTATTAACATGTTGTTTTTTATTCTACCAAGAGAAAAACAGCTTGTATTATATACTTTGTGCAGGAAAAATTGTTTCACAAATGATTTTTTTAAATATCTATCCTATTAAAATGCATCCATAAAAATGAAAAATAGATTCACTTTCCTGTCCAGAATTATTAAATGGTAACTTACTTAGAAAGAATTCCTCGAAGTCAGTTTTCTCCACACAGCTAGTATACATGCGCAGGGCTGCAATCTTAATTTTCTAGACAAAGAGAACAAAAAACTCAACACAGGACCAAGAGGATATTCCAGTATCATAAGAAATGGGTCATAAAATCATACATTTCTTCAACTAGAAGGGTCTAAAACCTATCTCTAGGCAATTTAATCTAATACAGTTTTTTTTGGGGGGGGGGGGGGCGGTTGGTACTGGGGATTGAACCCAGGAACACTTAACCACTGAGCCACACATCCCTAGGCTCCCACTCCCCCTGCCTTTTTCTTTTTTTTTTTGAGACAGGATATTGCTAATTGGCTTAACCCTTGGCCAAGATGCATGCAGACTAACTTTAAATTTGCCATCCTCCTGCCTGAGGGAAAGGATCCCTATAATCCCTAGCCGTGCAGAGACTGGAGATGACTGGTGTGCACCACAACTCCCCATCCAGCTGACATTTTTTTCTAGCCATTTTCTAGCCACAACTTTATACAATGTTAAGAATGTTAGCATGAAAATGTCAAAGATTTCTCTCAATACTTAAATTAAATCACTCCTTTTAATTTTTCACCACATGTGAACTTCTAAGCCGATGTTCAACATTATCCACAACAACTCTTTATACTCTGAAATCCTTTATATTAAAAAATTACTTAGGGTTGGGGTTGTAGCTCAGTGGTAAAGAACTTGCCTAGTACTGGTGAGGCACTGGATTCAATCCTCAGCACTGCATAAAAATAAATAAATAAAATTACCTATTATTTTTACCAAAATCAAATAAAAATCTTTCATCTTTTCCTCAAAAACATTACTAACAGTCTATAAATCTTTTATTTTGGGCGGGGGGAGGTCTTTTCCATATTGTCTTTAGTTTTAATAGTTTGTAGATTAACAATACTGTATATATAAACAAAAGTTTCTAATGAATATAAAATACAGTAGAACACTCAACCTTTTTCTATTTCCCAAAGTAATAAAAATTTTCTCAGAATTTTATTTATTTATTTGTTTGTTTGTTTGTTTATTTATTTTTGGTGCCAGGGATACTGTACCACTGAGCCACATCATATCTCTATCCCTTTTTATTTTTAGACAGGATCTTTTTTTTTTTTTTTTTTTTTTAATATTTATTTATTTATTTTAAATCTTTGGTGGACACAACATCTTTGTTGGTATGTGGTGCTGAGGATCGAACCCGGGCCGCACGCATGGCAGGCGAGCGCGCTACCTCTTGAGCCACATCCACAGCCCTTTAGACAGGATCTTACTAAGTTGCTTGGGGCCTTGCTAAATTATTGAGGCTGGCCCCAAACTTGCAATCCTTCTGCCTTCAACCTCCCAAGTCACTGGGATTACAGGCGTATGCCACCCTGCCCAGCTTAGGATCTTGATATAAATAACAATTCTAACTTATTTGCTAACCTGTATACTTAAGATTTGTATATTTTACTGTATGTAATTTATGCCTTAATAAAGACAAATCTAAAAATCAAAAGTAAATTCCTTTGAATTGTGCCTGATGTGACACTGTACACCTGGAATCCCTGCTACTCAGGAGGCCAGGCAGAAAGATCATTAGTTTGAGACCAGCCTAAGCAATTTAGTGATACCTTGTCTCAAAATGAAATTAGGAAGGTGTAGGGATGTAGTGCAATGGTAGAGGCAAGCACAAGGCAAGCACAAGCCCTCGGTTCAATCCCCAGTACTGGGTAGGGGAGGGGAAGAACTAAACTGAATTGTTAAAAGTCTGAAGACCAACTCAGTGCTACAGAAACATATTTTCAAGGATTTTTTAAAACTTCTCATTAAGGGGGCAAGGTATCACACACCTGTAATCCCAGTGATTTGGGAGGCTGAGGTGGGAGGATTGAAAGTTCAAGGCTAGCCTCAGCAATTCAATGAGACCCTGTCTCAAAAAAAAAAAAAAAAAAAAAGTGGGGAGCTGAGGACATGACTCAGTGGGAAAGTGCCCTTGGATTCAATCCCCAGAACCCCCCCCCAAAAAAATTTTTTTTCCATTAAGGACACAACTAACTTAAATTAGCACATCAAGGAAACCACTTGTAGAAGTTTTATTTTTCTTTCTTAAAAAGACAGGGAAAGGGCTGGGGTTGTGGCTCAGCTGTAGAGCGCTTGACTAGTAAGTTCGAGGCCCAGGGTTCGATCCTCAGCACCACATAAAAATAAAAAAACAAAATAAAGGTATTGTGTACAACTAAAAAATAAATATTAAAAAAAATAAAAGACAGGGAAGTGTTCTCTTCAGCAGCACATATACTAAAATTGGAATGATAAAGAAAAGATTAGCATTGCCCCTGCGCAAGAATGACACACAAATCTGTGAAGCGTTTCATATTTTTGTGTACAACCAGTGACTTGAAAAATTGTGCTCTATATGTGTAATATGAAATGAATTGCATTCCGCTGTCATATATAAATAATTTAGTAAAAATAAAATAATTTTTAAAAAAGGAAAAGTTAAAACTCAAATATGCAAACAAAAACATGCACAGACTAAGAATGGCATAGCAATTGAAGACAAGCAATGTCCAATTCACTGGAACTGTTAATAAAACTTCAAATCACCAAAGATAAACTATACCCAATGCTATACAATGTTCATATTTTTCTATACATTCTAGAGTCAAAAAAAAAAAAAAAAAAACCCAAAACCAAAACAGTGTCTCTGATGAGCAGAAATGCCTATAATAAATTAAGCCAGGATTATGTTTCTGATTGTAATGAAGATTTGTTAATTTGAGGTCTATCACATTTTCAAAGCCTTTTATCTAAAGCTTATATGGAAAAAAAACAGAACACATAAACAAATGAAAATCAGATATATAAGTCTGGGGAGTAAATCAGCAGTTTAGAAGTCTACCTTTAAATAAAACTCATGGTAAAACTCTAAAAAAGAAGAGCAAATTAAACCGAAAAGCAAGCAGAAAGAATGATAGCCTAAAAAATAGAAACCAATGAAAAATAATATAGAAAATCAAAGAACCTAAATTTGGTTCTTTTAAAATATCAGTAAAATTAGCCAGAGGGGAGGAAGAAAAGAAAATACTGGGGAATCACAGTAACCAAATTATATTGCTACATGTACAAATATGTAACAATAAATCTCACCATTATGTATAATAATTATGTACAACTATAATACATCAATAAAAATATGGAAAAAATAAAATCAAAATGGAAAAATTTGAAAATAAATAAATGAAATTAGCCAGATTTATCAAAGAAATAAAACAGAGGATTTAAAGTGCCAATATCAAGAATCAGAGAGGAGACATAACTACATATCTTAAAGGCATTAATAGGATAATGAGAGAATATTATGAACAACCATGGGCAATGAATGTGATTACTTAGATGAAATGGGCAGATTTTTGAAAGCTACAAACTAGCAAAACTCACAAGGATAAATAAAAAACAGGTATAGTCCTGTATCTCTCAAAGAAATTTGATTTGTGGTTAAAAACTTTCCCATAAAGAAAACTGCAGGTCCAGATGGCACCTTAGAGAATTACACCCAATATTTATTTTTATTTTGTGCTACTGGAAATTAACTTGGGGGACCTCAACCACTGAGCTACATCCCTCAATCCCTTTTACTTTTTGTTTTGAGACAAGGGTTTCCCTAAATTCCTAGGCTGACCTCAAGCCTGAGATCTTCCTGTCTCAGCCTTCCTGGCCCCTGAGATTATAGGCATGTACCATCACACCTGGCTCATGTCATTTCTTTAAATGTTGGGTACAGCCACACACTCCTTTAATCCCAGCAACTCCAAGGCTAAGGCAGGAGGACTAGGAGGCTGAGGCAGGAAGATTGCAAGTTAAAGGCCAGCCTAGGCAACTTAGTGAAACCCAGTCTCAAAACAAAAAAATAAAAAGGGCTGGGGGATGTAACTCAGCAGTAGAGCACCCCTGGATGGGATCCCCAGTATTACAAAAAAAAAAAAAAGGAAAGAAAGAAAGAAAAGAAAAAAAGAAGGAAACAATACCAAAGCTACACTTCCGGTAAAGTAGAGGAAAAGAACATTTCACAACTCATTTATAAAACCATTATCCTGATATCAAAATCAGTCATTAGAAGAAAGCTAAACTGCTGGGCGTGATGCTATAATCCCAGCAGCTTGAGAGGCTGAGACAGGAGGATTGCGAGTTTAAAGCCAGCCTTAGCCCTGGCAAGGAGCTAAACAACTCAGTGAGACCCTGTTTCTAAATAAAATATAAAATAGGGCTGGGGATGTGGCTTAGTGGTTGAGTACCCCTGAGTTCAATCCCTGGTACCAAAAAAAAAGAAAGAAAGCTAGGGGCTGGGGATGTGGCTCAAGCGGTAGCGCGCTCGCCTGGCATGCATGTGGCCCAGGTTCGATCCTCAGCACCATATACAAACAAAGATGTTGTGTCCGCCAAAAACTAAAAAAATAAGTATTGAAAAAATTCCCTCTCTCTCCCTCTCTCTTCCCTCTCTCTCTTTAAAAAAAAAATAGAAAAAAGAAAGAAAGAGAGAAAGCTAAACTTTAGAATTATAATCTTCATAAACATAGTTGCAAAATTCCTTAATAAAATATATAAAAAGGACAATATATCATGATCAAGTGGGATTTATCCATAAATGCAAAGTTGATTCAACACTGGCAAATCAATCAATGTAATTCACCTACATCAAAATACAAAAATAAGAAAAGAAAACCTGTTTAACTTTGTTAACATCTGCAGTTATTTTAAGTACTTAACCACAGAATACATTTTGGGAAGCACTGATCTGTACAATCCTCTAAATAATGCTATCATTATACTACTATTATGGCCTTCTCAGGTTTATTCCTAACCTTGAGATGGGAATTCTGGAAATCCCTTAGTTTTCCACCTCATTTGACAATGTTTATGAGCTGAGAATAGAAGGAAAACAAAACAAACAAAAATCTGTGCCCTTTAGAAACTTATGGCCTTGGGCTGGGGATGTGGCTCAAGCGGTAGCGCGCTCGCCTGGCATGCGTGCGGCCTGGGTTCGATCCTCAGCACCACATACAAACAAATGTTGTGTCTGCCGAAAAACTAAAAAATAAAAAATATTAAAAAAAAAAAAAAAAGAAAGAAACTTATGGCCTTGTCCAACTCCAGATCAGTTTATAATTTTAACTAAAATCCCTAATTGTTTATTTCTTGCTCTTTTTTTTTTTTTTTTAATCCTGTAGTTTCCTTTAGGTTCCTCTATATAAAGTCTGTTAGGTTCACAATTAATCACCCTGCCCTAGGAAAAGCAGACTTGCCTCCAAGGACCACATCGCTCCTTGAGAAGGAAGCTTTCCCCCATAATATGTTCATGAAAAAGCACTCATTACAAATAATGAAGAGTTCACCAGATTGGCTCGGGTATTTATACAGTGCTCAAACTGTAGAAATCAAGAGCATTTTACAGTTCTTCACTTTTCCTGCAGCAAAGCCAAGCCTTTATACTTGGGTGAGCCATTTTCCTGGACAAATCTCTAAAGCAAGTCCCTGAAGATTATCACACAGGGACTGGACATAATAAATGGAAAGAAGTTATCCAAGAATTATGCATTAATATAAGTTAAAGAGGTAAATGGACTAAATGTCCACCAAGTCAATACAAGCTGTTCTGGTCCTTGGATGATTTCATGTTTATTTCATTCTAACTTTGGAAGGGTTCGTCAGGCTACTTGACCGAAACAGAAGTATCTAGGACAGCTTTAGGATGATCTCCCAGAAACTGATAGTTTCTGTACTGAATTCTATGCATTCTATTCTGTACTGGAATTCCTTCTTCAGCATTCTTGACTCATGAATGGGCCCCTGTTAAATAAGATCAATGACTTTTTGCAAGGCTACCTATCTTATTGAAGAACAGTTCTTAGATTTTCATTGTACTGAACTTAAATCTGCTTCATATAATATTCATTAGACATTTTTCTGGCCATTGGAGTAACTCGGATAAGCATCCCTGTTTCCTTCAACCATTCTTTATTCAACAGTTTCTAAGCTTTCACAAGACTCACTGTCCAACTCTGAATATATTCCAGTTTCTCATGTCCTTCAGAACAAAAATAAATTTTTGGCTCAATGCTAATACAAAACCTATCCATTCCATAGCATGTGCTTGAATCATGGCATGTGCTGTCCTTTCTTATATGATATTGCTATACAAATATAATGTAAAAGAGTGGTTATTTCAGGATACTACAAGAAATAAGGAAAAGCTACATTTAAAATCCTAATTATGGGCTGGGGCTGTAACTCAGTGGTAGAGCACTTGCCTCACATGTGTGAGGTACTGGGTTCAATCCTCAGCACTACATAAAAATAAGTAAAGATACTGTATGTCCATCTACAACTAAAAAAAATTTAAAAAAAAAGTTTTTAAAAATCCTAATTATGACTCTAAAGAAAAATGGGAACTATACATTAAAACATTAAAGAAAAGTATAAAGACATTTGATACTGCTGTCATGGACAGATAAGCCAGCATTTTACTTCCTAATGAAATACATAAAGAATTCTGTAAATGCAATCAAATACAAGTGTCTAGCCATAGATTTCTGAGTTAACATTGTTGAAAGGGCTCTTTAGTTTTTCAAAATGGAGGCTGGATGGTGGTACACACCAGTAATCCCAGCAACTTGGAGGCTGATATAGAAGCATCAAAAGTTCAAGGCTGGGGCTGGGGATGTGGCTCAAGCGGTAGCGCGCTCGCCTGGCATGCGTGCGGCCCGGGTTCGATCCTTAGCACCACATACAAACAAAGATGTTGTGTCCGCCAAAAACTGAAAAATAAATACTGAAATTTTCTCTCTCTCTCTCTCTCTCTCTCTCTCTCTCAAAAAAAAAAAAAAAAAAAAAAGTTCAAGGCTGTGCCAGGCACGGTAGCACACACACCTTTAATCTCAGGAGGCTGAGGCAGGAGGATCACAAATTCAAAGCCAGCCTCAGCAAAAGCAAGGCACTAAGCAACTCAGTGAGACCTTGTCTCTAAATAAAATACAAATTAGGGCTGGGGATGTGGCTGGGTGGTTGAGTGCCAGAGTTCAATCCCCAGTACCAAAAAAAAAAAAAATTAAAGGCTCCTCTGAGCAACTTAGCAAGACCCTATCTATAAATAAAAAGTAAAAAGAGTTGGGGGGCTAGGATGGTGGCTCAGTGATACAGCATTTGCCTAGCATGTGTGAGGCACTGGGTTCGATTCTCAGCACCACATATAAATAAATAAAATAAAGGTCCATTGACAACTAAAAAATATCTTTAAAAAAAAAGGGGTGGGGTCAGGGATATAGCTCAGCAGTAAAGAGCCTCTCAGTTCAATTCTTGGAAATAAAGGGGAAGTGGGGGAGTTGTATCTAGATTTTCCCAACACAATCATAGTAGAATGGTAGACTTTGGTATTTTGCTGTCATAAGTTTTAAAAACAAAGATTATAGAAAGTAGACAATGCCACATCACAAAGATATTTTTTAATGCAAACATTAGGAATTTAGTTGAGGTCACAAAGGGAACCAAAAAAAATCAGAGGCTAACCTAAGCTACAAGAGTGAAGGGATGTTCTTGATGATTTAGTAATCCTCCAAATGGTGGCCAATTTTCCCTCTGGAATCATAAAAAAAAACAGACTAGACAAAGCATATGGTAGTAACCAAGTGGAACCCAATCACCAAGAAATGAATAAAACAGTAAATTTTTCTTTTCTTTCTTTTTTCTGCTTTCATTTCCCTCTTCTAATTTTCAAACAAAACATATTTCAAGTTTTAAAATCTAAATCACTACCTTTTTTAAAAAATAGGGGAAAAGATTCTGGTTAATACATTACTAAATAAGTCAATAATTTATCAACCGTCAAAGAATTAAGATGAAAAATACATACATATACACACACACACACACACACACACACACATATATATAACTTTAATAAACTTAATATTTCCTTGATGATTTGGAAAGTACCTCATAACCTCAGGGTCTCAAGAATATCATTACTACTTAACATTTGTGCCCTCTCTATACATTTCAAAAATCCCCTAATAAAAAATAAACAAATTCTTGTGCAATCACTGCTGAATTTTCAGAATTCACATACAAAGCAAAACCTCTATCTGCTGTAGTAATGACTGTTAGGAAGAGAAAGCAAGTAAGAAGAAACAAAGAATAGAGTCCATATTAAAACTGAAATTCTAATTTGAATCCAACTTGTTAAAACGGTATAAATGTCATTACTTATTTTGAGCAAAGTTATGACATTTTCTAGAAATGTCTTTCCTACCACTTTGTGTTGGTATGCTCTGACTTACAACTGACAATGATTAGACTTATCAAATATTCTAGCAACCTTGAAAGGCATTAAGAGACACTTTGCCACAGTGATAGAATAGTCATAGGAAATAAGTGGGATGAGAAGAACAGAATCACTAATGTTCTATTACTAAATTGATTAAAGGTATAAATAAGAACCAGTATACACCTGATACAGAGAGAACACTCATTCATTTACAGCAACTACTGTACAAGAAATAAGGTCCTAGGTCAAGTATTGACAAGAAGTCAATTATAACAAAGTCATGGAGTCAATTTTAATAAAAAAGATGCTTTTTCTAAAATTTTAAAGAATGTCACTATAATGACCTAGGGGAAAAAATCACTTAATGAAAATGGATTCATCCTACACTAAGGGTGTGACTCTATATCATGTACAGCCAGAGTAATGAGAAGTTGTATTCCACTTGTGTATAATGTGTCAAAATGCATTCTACTGTCATGTATAACTAATTAGAACAAATTAGAAAATAAAATAATTTTTTTAAAAAATGAATTCATTGGAGACTTATGCTTCCTTAAGAATGCCGCCCGTCTGACCCTCTGCACTCTTCTACATGGCATACCATGTAGCAAGGGCCTGAAAGGTGCAATCTTACTGGGTGCCAGCTACTGTAAGCTGCTTCCAAGGCAGCTTACAACTAAAAAAGGAATATTTCAGTCCCACATGCTACATTTCAGTCTCACTGATTAAGAAGTGGGGGCTTGAGGTGGGGAGTGCATTTCTAAGAAATTATCAAAACAACATATGAATTTCATGAGAGTAAACAAGCTTTAAAAAAATCTTCTATGGGAAAGAGAAAGAACAAAACCCAAAATAAAAAAATGAGAAGAATTTAGAAGACATTACCCATTTACTGTATTTCAATGGTCCTGTGAATCCCATGGCTTCTATTATCTTCGTGAAAGCACCAACCTTCTCTTCAACAGGCTGTAGGGAATCCTTGGTAGCAGAAAGCTATTTAGTCAAATAGCCAAAGAGAAAGAAACCAAAATAAGTTGTAAAAAAAATTGCTTAGACATTTTATTCCCTACAATTTTTTTTTTTTCTTTTTGTACTGAGGATTGAACCCACAGGCACTTTTACCACTAAGCTATATCTCTAGCCCTTTTTTATTTTCTGTTTTGAGACAGAGTCTTGCTAAGTTACTGAGGGTCTCACTAAGTTGCCTAGAACTTGCAATCCTCCTGCCTCAGCCTCCCTCCTGAGTCACAGAAATTACAGGTGTGTGCTACTGAGCCTGCCTTACCTTCAATTTTTTTGTGTGTGGGGTTTGGGGGTGGGTACCAGGGATTGAATTCAGGGGCTCTCAACCACTAAGCCACATCCCCAGCCCTATTTTGTATTTTATTTAGAGATAGGGTCTCACTGAGTTGCTTAGTGCCTCACTTCAGCTGAGGCTGGCTTTGAACTCAAGATCCCCCTGCCTCAGTCTGGTGTGTAAAAGGAAAAGTGAGAAAAATACTATTTGAAAACAGGCAAATCATCCAAAACCACAGTCAACCAAAGTAAACCCTGAATACAATGTTTTTCAACTCATATATATATATATATATATATATATATATATATATATTTTTTTTTTTTTTTTTTTTTTTTTGGTACTGGGGATTGAACTCAGGGTCACTAGACCACGGAGCCACATCCCCAGCCCTATGTTTTGTATTTTATTTAGAGTTGTTTAGTGCCTTGCTTTTACTGAGAATGGCTTTGAATTCATGATACTCCTGCCTCAGCTTCTTGAGCCACTGGGATTACAGGCATGTGCCACTGAACCCAGCCTTATATTCTTAGTACATATTTTAGTTAATTTGTTGCAACTGTGACTAAAAGACCTGACAAGAATAATTTTAGGAGGAAAGTTTATTTGGGGGCTCATGGTTTCAGAGGTCTCTGTCCACAAATAATTGGCTCTATTCCTCAAGAATGGAGATAAAACTGAACATCATGGCAGAAAGGTGTGGCAAAGAGAAGCGGCTCACATGATGATCAGCAAGGAGACAGAGAGAGACTCTACTCTCCAGATACAAAATATATACTCCAAGGTATGTCCCCTCACCTCCAGCCTCACCTACCTGCCTTCAGTTACCACTCAGTTAATTCCATCAGGGGATAAATTCACTAATTGGGTTAAGGATCTCATTACCCAATCATTCCACCTCTGAATATTCTTGCATGTCTCAAACATAAGCTTCTGGAGGACATCTAATGCCCAAACCATAACAGTACAATAAATATAGAAAACATAAATATTGCAATTCGAAAATAAACTCCAAGGAAAACCTGTTCTAATACTAAGCTCTCCAAAGAAAAGCAGGCTATCTAAACCAATTTAAAAAAAAAAAAAAACCCTAAAAGTTAAATAATTTGTCCAAAATCCATGAAGAATCTTCTCCTCTAAAATGCTTCCCAGACAAGACAGTACAGTGAAGAAACACAGGACTAATTTTAGAAGGCTGAAGTTCAAATAATTCAGTTTGTTACCATCCTTTGTAACATTGAGCAAATCATTTCAACTCCCCAAGCCTCACTTCTATATTTGCTTAAATTCCTTGCCACACAGAAGGAAAGATATTGTTGAGATCAAAATAAGAACATCTGGAGGCTGGGGCTGTAGTCAGTGGTAAAGTGCCCACCTCACATGTGTAAGGCACTGGGTTCAATCCTCAGCTCCATACAAAAATAAACATGCTGTATATTTATCTACAACTAAAAAAATATTTAAAAAAGAACATCTGGTCAGGTATGATGGTGCATGCTTCTAAATCCCAGAAACTCAGATGGCTGAGGCAGGAGGACTGCAAGTCAAGGACAGCCTCAGCAATTTAGTGAGACCTTATTTCAAAATAAAAAAGGTATTGTGTCCACCTACAACTAAAAAATAAATATTAAAAAAAAAAAAAAGACCAGGTGTGGTGGCACATGCCTATAATCCCAGCAACTTGGGAGGCTGAGGCAGAAGGATCACAAGTTCAAAGCTAGTTTCAGCAACTTAGCAAGACCATCTCAAAAAAAGGACTGAGGATGTGGCTCAGTGTTAAATGTCCCTAGGTTCAGTCCCCAGTACAAAAAAATAAAAATAAATAAATAAATAAAAAGGGCTGAGGGTGTAGCTCAGTGTAGAGTACCCCTGGGTTCAATTCCCAGCACCACACAAACATATAAAAGAACATCTGGGGGCTGGGGTTGTGGCTCAGCGGCAAAGTGCTCACCTAGCACGTGTGAGGCCCTAGGTTCAATCCTCAGCACCACATAAAAATAAAATAAAGATATTGTGTCCAACTACAACTAAAAATAAATAAATAATTAAAAAAGAACATCTGTCTGAAAGCACTACATAAACATAGAAGACATTAATAATTCTCACCTTATTTGTGGTGTGATAATTCCTACTTTGCTGCACATCTGTTCCAGGAATCTGTTCTGACCCACCACAGGTTCTGGATTGGCTCATCTGGGGCAACTGGGATATAAAAAAACAAATATAAGCAACAATGAACATGCACTTAGAGAGTTAATCTGAGAAAACTGCTTTAAAATAGGACTACAGGTGCTATCCAACCCTGTTTAACATAGTTCCTGGTGATGTGATCACCAAGAGGACCCAAGATCAGCCCCTGAAATGGTGTCTCATACATGGTAGGTGCTCAATAGATACTTAATAAATACTTGAAGAAATAAAAGGATTCAGCCCTGGAAACATGGAATTAAATCTGAGTTAACTTTAGGAAACAGAATTATAGATTATAGACACTTATTTTATATATATATATATATATATATATATATATATATATATATATATATATAATATTATACTATTATACTAATTATACTACATATATAATACTAATTATAGATACTTATTGTAATTCTGTTTCCTAAAGTTGACTCAGATTTAGTATCTAAATATCAGCAGCTGTGCAGTACACAGAGGTAAAAACCCCAAAGACATTAAGTTTAAATTTAAAACCTGTTTCAGTCACCTACAAGCTCAGTGGCTATGGGTAACTTACTGAACCTCATTTATTGCAGTAAGGATTAAAGGGGACAATTATATAAAGTGCTTCTCACAAAATAGATATTCAATAAACAGAAATTTGCATCATCACCAACATCATCATCAACATCATTGTTCAGACCATAATTGGTTTCCTTTTATGTTCACACTGCATTTGAAAACAATTTGGTAATTAATAGCTACTATTTATAATTATTATGTGCCATGTACTATGCTAACTGCCATATAAAAATCCTTCTATCCTTCTTTAATCTTCACTACAACTCTACTAGATTGCTGTTTTTATTAAGAACAATACACAGTTTTGGAAACATAAAAGAGAAAACTACATGCAAGAGATCTTCATTGTAGCATTATTTACAAGAGTGAAAACTGAGGGGAAAGTCCAATGAGGAGAGTCAATTAAACTAAGGCACTCAATGGATAATCAGGTAACCACTGCTATTTTTAACAGGCTTTTTAAAGCAGTTTTTAGGTTCACAGCAAAATCCAGCAAGAAGCACAGAGTTCCCACATGCCCTCTTCCCCATAACGCACAAATTCCCCCACTAACAACATGTCACACCAAAGTAGTACATTTCTTAAAATGTACCCTGTCCCATTCTAGCACCCAAAGTCATGGTTACATTAGAAATTATTATTTTTAACACAAAAATGCTAATAATATGGATGAAATTATAGGCAAAACCATAAATGTATATGGGTAAATCTAGGAAGCAACACATAGAAAAAGGGTCATTTTGTTACATTAGAATTATGGGTAATAGCTAGGATGTGCCTAGGTGGTAGAGTGCTTGCCTAGTATGCATGGAGCTGTGGGTTCAATCCCCAGTACTGGTGGGAGAAAAAAGAACTGTGACTAAGTTTAGGAATCTAGTTTCCAAACCCTCAGTAAGTTTTATTACCTTTACAATAAAAAAGGGTGGGGAGGGAGCAGGAAGAGAGTTAATCCCTCAACTCTGGTTTATTCCAAGAAGAGATGGGACACATGGAATGAAAATGATTTTCCTCTTTAATCTTAATGAAGGAAAATAGAATTTCTAATTGTGGAACATTACTATTCACATTTCTTTCCAAACAAGGATATTAAAAGATTAGTCAGAATCCTTCTGGTAAGTCCCAGGGACACTTGTGTTTTATTTAATTCCTGAGTATCAAGCAGGCTTTATAAAACAGGGACTAAACAGAACACCTCCCATGACATCACACACATCATTGTAATAGTCCATCTAGAACACAACAGTCCATCTAGAATGCAAAGCATTTAAACCAGTTCAAAGAACACAACCAAGAATAATTTCAATAAGCTGTGCTTCAGACTAATTTCTCTTTCTATTAGGTTGTATAATCTTTCTCTGGCCCACAGCTCTAAGAATAATCAATGGATTTCTTCTCTGGCTGCACCATCACCTACTGTATTTTTGTACCTCCTTTATTAATAAGTAAAAACATTTCACACTATCCTGAACTACTGAAGTATCTATGTACTTAGTACCAAGGACAACATCTAACTGTCCCACACCTATACTTATCTATAAACACACATACTTTTTTGCACTACCCACTCTTGCCTTTGCTCTCTCAAAAAGATTCATTTGACCATTTAAGACCTCAATTTTTGTTTTAATTGAAAGGACATCAATAAATAACTTTTTAAAAGACAACAGATAACATGAAATACTGAAATGTCACTTTTTTCAAAGAGGCTTTCTCTGAACACCTTATCTAAAAACAGGTTCCTTTCAACCTGTTATTCTCTGTCATAGAATCAGTCTGTTCATTTCCTTGATGGTCTCACTATAATGTATAATTACATATTTATTCATGTGTTTGTTTACTCTCAATCACCACTACCAAAAAATAAACATCAGGGTAAGAACGAGGTATCACTAGAATCAAGTACAGTGCATTACACAAGGGAAACCCTCGAATATGTTGAGTGAATGAATCTTACACCTGGTACACTTTTTTACTTCTGATTATTTCCTTCCTGATCTTATCTACACATTCATCAAATAATATATGCTTCATTCTCCCAACCTCTATTAAATGCCCAGGATATGCTAGTCCTTATGCAGGATTCTGGATACAGACAGAATCCTCATTCTCAAAGGACTCATAATCTTGTAAAGAAGAGGGAAAAAGTTTACCGAATATCACTTTTTAAATTGTCACTCATCACGAAACAAACAAACAAACAAATATAACCCAAGCGTTAGCAAGAACGTAGAGCAACTAGAACTCTCAGACACTGCTGGTGGGAGTGTAAAATGTTAAGTCACTTTGGAAAAATACTTGGCAGTATCTACTTAAACTGAATGTATATACAACCTCTAAGACTCAGCAATTCTCTTTCATTACCAAACAGAAATGTATACATATGTTCACTAAAACATGTGAACAAGAATGATTATAGCAACATTATTCATAAAAGCCCCCAAATTGAAGCAACCCAATTATTCATCAATGAAATAGATAAATAAACTGTGGCATATTCATATAATAAAATACTATACAATGAGAATTAATAAACTATAACTGCAAAAAAACAACATGGATGAATTTCTAGAACAAGTCTGAGAGACAGCAGACAAACAAACTACATACTATATGTATGTAAACAAAGGCAAACTAATCTACAGTATTCAAAATGAAGACTAGTTAACCCTGGTGGAGGCAGTGACTAGAAAGGGATGGAGGCCGTCTGTAGTCCAGGTAATGTTCTTCCTCCATGTGGATGCTGGGTACGTTTACTTTGTAATAATTCACTAAGCTATACGCATATGACTTGTGCCATTTTCTATCACTTATATCTCAATAAAATGTAAAAAAAAAATGCTTAAAAAGATGTGAAATAAGCAGTGTGAACAATATAAATTTGGAAATGAAAAAGAATAACCTGGAGTCATTCTAGAAAAGGACAAGATAAAGAAGAAAAAATGAGGAAGCCTGGTGCAGTGGAAAGAGAATACAGAGTCAGAGATTTAGACTGAAGCTCCACTTCTGTCCGTCTTTTAAAAACAAATGAAACAACATAAAAGGGGTGTGCAAACTACATCACATAACAAAAGTAAAGACCTGTTCTAGATATCTACAGTGATAAACTCTTTTGCAGTTGGCCCCTGGTTAAAAGGAACGTAAGATCTCATCTGTTTTTAACTGCTTTAGTACTGGAAATTGAACACGAGGCACTTTACCACTGAGCTACATCCCCAGCCCTTTTATTTTTTATTTTGAGACAAGGTCTTCTAAGTTGCTTAGAGCCTTGCTGAGGCTGGCCTCAAACTTCTGATCCTCCAGCTTTAGCCTCCTGAGTCGCTGGAATTACAGATGTGGGCCACCACACCCAGCTAAAATTTCACCCTTATTTTTGCTTTCAAAAGAGTTCTTGGAGCTGGAATTATAGCTCAGTGGTAGAGCGCTTGCCTAGCATATATGAGGCACTGTGTTCAATCCTCAGCACCACAGAAAAATAAATAAAGATGTTGTGTCTATATACAACAAAAAACATAATTTTAAAAAAAAAAGGAGTTCTGAAAATCAAGAGACTTCTTTGATGAGAGACAGAGAAATAAAAACAGACTGAAGCAATTCTTAAATGCCATAGAGGTGTGTGTGTCTTATAATTTAGCAAAACTATAAGATCCACCAGAGCACAGGTCATCTTACACCTCTTTTATTTTCTGTCCCAAAGCTCAACACTATTCTGGGCATGTAGTCAGTATTCAATAAAAACTAGGTGGATTTTTCTTCTATTTTTTTTTTCAAAGAGAGGGATAACCTGGAGAAGGTCCAAAAAAGAACCACAGGAATGATCAAAGGGATGAATAAAAGGTCCTAGTGGAAGGTTAAAATGAATTGAGTCTGTTTAGCTTGGAGAAAAGGCAACTAAAGAATTAAAGAGTAACTTAGAATAACACTTGAGCTGGAAGAAATCTCAGTGATCTTCTAGTCTAACCTTTTTTCACTTCACAGATGAGGAAACTAAAACCAAGGGAGAGGTTACAACTTGGTAAAGGTAGTTTTAGGACAACAACAACAAAAAAAAATTGAGGTTCATTTCATACCTAAAGAGAAAACTCACACAAGTAACATGAAAATGCAGAGCAATAAAACTTGCAATTATAACCTACTGAAGCTCTTCTCTCCTATGTGCCCAGAACCTTCATGTCTTACTTATTTCATAACAACTTTGTTCAGCTAATACTATTTCTTACCCATTTTAAAAATTAGGACACTAAATACAGTTCATTAAGGATTGCTATGTTCTGTCCCTTCTAATAAGCTGCCTTAAAAAACCTGAGTACAGTTCAACAACACAGGTTCAGGCACATTTAACAACCAGATAATTTTATTGAAGAATAAAATTTAGAAATACCATTCTCCATTAAAAGGAACCAAGGTTCCTTGAAGAAATGATTGAATCTAGAGTTAGAATAGGGAAAATATAACCTAAAACATCTTGTGGTACAAGGAAATAAGGAAGCATTCAAAAAAGATGAGGGCATGGGGAAAGAAAATTGAAGGTGTTCTCATTAGCCAATATTGTGACAAATGGATCAATAAAACAACTAATTAGAAAATGGATTATAAATCATGGAAGAAAATAAACATTCATGAGTTCATACTGACATAAATAATTGAGTAAGTAAATAAGTAGGGAAGAACTGACAGACCTTTTGTAAGGTCTTCCTTACAAAAGACCTCTAGTTAATAAATGTAAGAATGATGGAAATAGAAAATACTAGGCAAACACCACAGTAATAACTGTTGTAATCAGAAACCATCAATAGAGCAATCATATATAGCTAGGCACAGTGGCACATAACAAAAGTTCCTTAACAAATTAGAGGCCAGTCTGGGCAGCTCAGTAAAACCTTGTCTCAAAATAACAGCTGGGAACCTAGCTCAGTGGTAGAGTGCCTCTGGGTTTAATCCCCAACAGCAAACAAACAAACAAATAAAAAATTATCATATTATCATATAATCCAGCTAACTCAGCAATCCAATCTGGACATACATCCAAAAGAATTCAAAAGATCTCACTATATTATAGTTCACTATAGCGGGTTTTGTTTGAGGTACTAGATATTGAACCCAGGGTGCTCCTCCACTGAGCTGCATTCCCAGCTCTTTTTTCATTTTTTATTTTGAGACAGGTCTCACACTAAGTTGCTCAGTCTGGTCTTGAACTTTCACTCCTCCTGCCTCAATCTGCAGAGTAGCTAGAATTACAGGTATGCTCCATCATGCCCAGCTCACTATAGCACTACTATGAGATGGAAGAAACCCAAATGCTCACTGACCCAAATGGATTAAAAAATGTGATATATATGCAATGGAATATTATGCAGCCTTTAAAAGCAAAAAATAAATCCTGTCACATGCTACAACATGGTTGAACCATAAAGACATTATACTAAGTGAAGTAAGCCAGTCTCAAAAAGTCACATACAATTCCACTTATGAGGTACCTAGAGTAATGGAACACCCTATTAAACATAAGAAAAAATAGGGGCTAGGGATATGGCTCAGTGGTAGAGTACTTGCCCAGTATCATGAGGCTTGGGTTAGATCTCCAGCACCAAAAAATAAATAAAAATAAAAAAAAAAAATGTGTGTGTTTAAGCTTATGATGGCAAAGGAGAATAATTTTAATATCAAATAAAGGCTATCTAAATAACATGCATAAAATCTGCTCTAATAAGTGAAAAGCTGGAATATAAAACTTTGTGGATATTTGTTAAGGAACTTAAGGGAAAAAAATTAGTATATACACACAAACAAAGGCAGGAAAAAAACCACTGGAGATCAAAATACCAATGTTTTCAGACGTGAAGTCATAGGTGACTTTTATTCACTTTATTACTAAAGTATTTGTATGAATAACAAAAATAAGGAGAAATAAAGCCGTTCATAATATGTCCAATATTAACTATATTATAATGAATCACGTAGTCAATAGTAAACTAAGGCCTCGAAAAATTGTTTTTTGGATTTTACATTCATAAAAAGGAAAAAGAAGAAGAACATTTCATACCCCAAATAAAAGCAGCATAAAGTATTCGAAAAGAAACTGAAAAAAGTTAACTCTATGATGAATATCTGGAAAAGCTCCCCAACAGTAAAAATCATCGGACTGTAACGTGGTATCCTAGGCTAAGTTCCATTGCTGGGATATTTAGAAGCAACGCCCAAGACACCATACTCCAGGAATCAGTCCTGAGCTTGCACAGAGAGACCCAGAGCGGTCTCATGAGGTTTTTCCATCACACAATTTGGTTAGCTAATCTGTAAATACATGACATTTGCACATAAACACTAGGTTTTCATATCCAGCAAAGAAACAACAAACCTTACCTGGGAAGTGCCAGACAGAGCCCGGCTCCACTGTCCTTGGGTAGGAGACACTGGTAGCAATCGGCTGCATACTGGAATCCACTGGGAGATGCTAGTCTGGTTCCTCTAGGAAAAAAAAAACATTGTCAGGAACCTATATCAGACTCCATATGTAGAAGGCACAGTGTACCTGAGATATTGTGATCTACTAAGAAATTTGTATTTGGTCTTCATCTCTAATTCCTGGCATAGAGTTCCTAAAACCCTTAAAATTTCTGAGTCATAGAAGGAAGTTTTGTGTTTATAATAAGCCCCTTTCAACTTTACCTGAGTTAACATTAATGAGATGACCCTTAGAAGATGAGAGGCTGGTTGACAAAAGAATGAACGGCATAAGTAGAGGGCTAGAACTTTCACTCCAACATTTAAACCTTCCAATAACCACCCAGTTACCTAGGTTTATTGTTTTTACTCCATACTGTATACTACGTACCCAGAAAAGGAAGAAGATATGTATAGAATAAGCAACTTCCCATTGTCACATGGTTAATAAACAGCAGGTTTAGGATTAGAACCCAGGCAACCCAACTCCAGAATCCATGCTCACATGAAAAGGTAAAGGGATTATCTCCAAGGTCCCTTCTAGCTTTAACACTAGCCATAGGTAAGTTTTGTAGTTGTTTTGTTTGTTTTGCTTTGTTTTATGGTACCAAAGATTGAACCCAGGGGCGATTAACTATTGAGCCACATCCCCAGCCTTTCTTATACTTTAAGACAGGGCCTCCCTAAATTACTGAGGCTGTCCTTGAACTTAAAATCCTCCTGCCTCAGCCTCCCAAGCCACTGGGATCATAGGCATGCATCACCATGCCTAGCTAGGTAGAGAACTGATTAAAATAGCGAACTGTGGAAAAAGCCAAGCACTTGGAATCAGAAAGCAATGGGATGCTTCTTGGTTCCTCTGTTCACAAGCTACATATTAGTTAACAGCCTATGTGGGGCTTGGTTATCTTTTCTGTAAAATGAAGATTAAATCCCTATTTCTCATGATTAAAAAAAAACTAACAAATGTAGCATGCAGTATGTTCAATATTAAGTATTAAGCTAAATCTGATCTCCACTTTCCTGGGGTAGGGGTGGGATGGAGAAAGGCATTAGAATTTTAAACACTCAGATGCTATCTAAAGTGTCTCACAGTTCTAAAATCGTAATTAACTGTTCCTTTCTACAAGAACATTTGTAAAAGCACTATGATAATCAAACAATACACACCCAGGCATTATTATCATTGTGAATATTTTTTACTGAATTATATAGGCTTCCCTTTACCCCGCAAACTGTCATAGCATCAAGAACCATTTTCTTAAAATATTATTTTTAACGTAGCATACTGAATCCCTGTTCCTGGGGGAAAGACAGTATTAGATCCCTATAAGCCTCTGGTTACAAAATTTTTATCAACTAGATAACTTTGTTTTATGTGTGCCCAGCTTAACAGTCATCAGCACTAATCTCACAGCCAATGGCACTACAACTCACCCCTGAACAAAACTTAGATATCTGACACTTGTAAAGGACACCACAGCCTTCTAATACTTGGCCATGCTAGACAACATTCCAGCATTACATTTGGGGGCATTTTAAACAAATATATCACCAACAAAGCACAAAATGTGAAAAACATTGTACTACACAGACCACTAAAAGGATACTTTTTACAGTTTCAAAGTTGAAATAAGAAGGCAGAGTGTTGCCTTGTTTGACTTCAGCTGGGAACAGTGTATACTGGTGGCTCAAATTTCTCACCCTGTACATGTCTGCAAATGACTAAAAGTACTTGAATTATTGATTTTGTTATTACAAATAAAATTTAGCAACCAGCTAATAATTAACAAATACAGAATACATGAATAAAGACTGATTATAATCACCATATTTACTAAATAATCCCCCTGTGATACCTACATTCTGAATGCCATGGTTACTATATCAATTCCATAGTCCAAACACAGAAACTACTGTAACAAACTCCTACAGGTTACAATGTACTTTCATTCTGAAGCAGCAGAGAATCTCTAACCCACTCTTTGAAAAACTATTGAGCTGGGGATGCAGTTCAGTGGTACAGCACTTACCTACTATGTACCTACTATCCAAAGGCCCCGGGTTCCATCCCCAGCACCATTTAAAAAAAAAAAAAAAGAATTATTACTGAACACACAGCCTTCTCCCACTTTGTTGAGTTTGCCCAATATAAGTTTTCAGAAGATTGACTACATAAAGGAAGGATGATCAAAACAACAAATACATTAAGGGGGAGGGTCAGGTTTCTATGAGAGAAAGGAGTTAATAAATATGGCAAGGAAGAAGGGTAGAATAACCCCTGTGATGGTAGATTGAATTGGATATAGAGTAATTGGTGTGTTTAATATATGGACATATAATAAATAAATGCATACATGTTCATGTATATTATTTCCTACCTATGTCCTGATAGGGCATAGAAGCAATGACACCCCAATAGCAATGAACACACACATCCAGATTTGCTTTCTAAATAGCAATATCTACTAGAAGGATCTAGGCTACTCGGGAAAGTCAACTCCAGAATGGGGCTGATGCTCCTCAAAGCCTTGTTCTCAAAGAACGCATATTATTTGATCAGCCTGACCATCCCTTCCCCTTTACTCAGCCTTCTCTTAGTACAGATCTTCATCATTTAGGATTACTTAAATGGCTTCAGACCAACTTGAGGACTCTAATCTCAGCCCCCTCTGATTGACCCATCTACAACTGCTGCAGGAATCTATTAAAAGAAAAATCTAGTAGTGGGAATGAGTATTTATTATGTACACAGCCTATAATCCCAGTGACTCCAGAGGCTGAACCAGCAAGATCACAAGTTCAAGGCCAGCCTGAGCAACTTAGTGAAATCTTGTCTCAAAATAAAAACTGGAAAAAAAAAAAAAAAGGCTGGAATGTAGCTCTATGGTATAGTGTCCTGGGGGTTCAATCCTCAGTGCTGGGGAGAAGAAAAAATAAACACAAGTCTTTCCCTGATCACTTATGGATGTGGAGGAAAAGGAACAACAAACAGGAGAAACTTACTGCAAAGAACCACAGAGAAACTTGGGAGTGATGGATATGTTCATTACTTTTAGGGTAGTGACAGCTTTTCAGGTATCAAAACTGTGTCAAAACTTATCAAATTGTACAATTAAATAGTGTAATTTATTGTGTTGTTTATTCCTCAATTTAGAAAAATTAGGGAAAAAAATAAGCGAATTAAAAAAACCTTAAAAAAAAAAAGGTAAAAACTTGCTTAAAATACTTCAAAGGCTACCCTCTGCCTTCAGAATAAAATTCATGACACTCTAAAGCATGACACTCAAGGTCTCTTCCATTTCTCTGAGTGCTCCTAAGTCCAGTCAAACAGATTTAGTTATAGCTCCTTGATTGTCTAACATTAAAATAAACTAATTCTTTTTCTCTATGGCTTTTTCCCATATCTCAGTATCTCACTTACTTCAAGCATCTCCTCCCTGTCTTCAAGTGCCCTTCTATTCTGCTCCCATCTATCTGTATCTGGTATAAACTTCTAATATCGCTTTCCAAGTATTCTATTAGTAGTTTTCTCTCTCTCCTATTGGATTATAAACTTGAATTGTTTGGATTTTTCGTGCAGTGCTTTGTGTAGTTCCTAAAATGTAGTAAACACCCAAAACAGTTGCTGAGTTTAAAAGGGAAGGAATCATTTAAACATAGCAATTGATTGTCTAATCAACCCTAGCAACCTTACTGATTAAGAAAATCTGAGGATTAGAGAACTTGCTCAAGGTCACATCCACCATAAGTAGTTACTTTCAACTAATCCTCAGGGAATTTTCATTGCTTTATCACATATCATGTTACAAGAAGACCTTGAGGGCTTGGGTTGTGGCTCAGAGGTAGAGTGCTTGCCTAGCATGTGTGAGGCACTGGTTTCAATCCTCAGCACCACATAAAAATAAAATAAAGATATTATGTCCACCTATAACTAAAAAGTAAATATTAAAAAAAAAGAAGACCTTATAGCTAGGTACTGGAGGCTGAGGCAGGAGGATCACAAGTTCAAAGTCAGTCTCAGCAGATTAGCAAGGTATTTAGCAACTCAGTGAGACCCTGTCTCTAAATAAAATATAAAAAAAGAGCTGGGAATGTGGCTCAGTGGTTAAGAACCCCTGGATTCAATCCCTGGTACCAGGAAAAAAAAAAAAAGGAGACCTTAGAGAAACAGGTTCAATGGTGCACACCCATGATGCATATGATTCCAGCCACTAAGAAGGCTGAGGCAAGAGGACTGAAAATTCAAGGTCAGCTTGGAAAACTTAGTGAGACCCTGTCTCAAAATAAAATTTAAATGGGGGGGGGGGGCATGGTGGCCGGTGCCTTTGATCCCAGCAACTAGGTGGCTGGGAGGGGGTTGAGGAAGGAAAATGGCAAGTTCAAGGACAGCCTAAGCAACTCAGTGAGACCCTTTCTCATAATATAAAGAACTAGGAATATGGCTGAGTGACTAAGTACCCCTAGATTAAATCCCCAAAACCAAAAAAATAAACAAAAATAAAATTTAAGATGCAGCTGGGGATATAGCTCATTTGGTAGAGTGCTTGCCTTGCATACACAAGGCCCTGGGTTCAATCCCCAGCACCACAAAAATATAAATAAATAAATAAATTTATTAATTAATTAAAAAGAAAAGTCTCCTATTATTTTTTAAAAAATGGGGGGGCGGGGGTTGCTGGGGATGTAGCTCAACAATAGTACCACACAGGGTTCAATCCCCAGTACCAAGAAGAAGGCAGCAGGGAGGAAGAGACCATCTCAGGGAATCAAACGATAAAGTGAAAGGGATTTTCCTTTCCTTTTTTTTTTTTAATATTTATTTTTTTAAGTGTAGATGGACACAACACAACACCTTTATTTTTATGTGGTGCTGAGGATCAAACCCGGGTCCTGCCCGTGCTAGGCGAGTGCTCTACCACTGAGCCACAATCCCAGCCCCAGATTTTCCTTTTCTAAACTTGCACTCACTATATCAAAAAGATAATTAACCCAGGGCTGGGGATGTGGCTCAAGCGGTAGGGCGCTCGCCTGGCATGCGTGCGGCCCGGGTTTGATCCTCAGCACCACAGACAAACAAAGATGTTGTGTCTGCCAAAAACTACAAAATAAATATTAAAAAATTCTCTCTCTATCTCTAAAAAAAAAAAAAAGATAATTAACCTGGGCATGGTGGTACACACACCTGCAATCCCAGCAATTCAGGAGGCTGAGGTAGGAGGATCACAATTTCAAGACCAGACTCAGCAATTCAGCAAGACCTTGTCTCAAAATTTTTAAAAAGGAAGGCTGGAGATGTAGCTCAGTGGTAGAGCACCCCTGGATTCAATCCCCAGTACCAAAAAAAATAAAATAATAATAATAATAATAATAAGAGAAGAAACGGGGGAGGGGGAGGAAAAGATGAGTCTAATAGAGGGGAGGTGAAGAGGTGGTTTCTATGGATGCTACCATCTAAAAAGTAGTATGCTCAGGGACAAGACTATATAAGAGGCTGGGGGGCAGTAGCTCAGCAGCAAGACTTGCCTAGCATGCATAAGGCACTGGGTTCAATCCTCAGCACCACATAAAAAATAAACAAATAAAATAAAGGCATTCTATCTATCTACAGCTACAAGAAAAATAAAAAGATTTTTTTAAAAGAATATATAGGATAGCTGGGGTAGCCACTAACTTCCAAGACAAATCAAGGTGTTCAACTCATCTTGATTGCCTAATAAACTTTTCATCTTTTTCCCCAAAATATCCATCTTAAAAACCAAATAATTAATCAGGTGCAGTGGTGCATGCCTGTAATCCCAGTGGCTTGGTAGGCTGAGACAGGAGAATCACCAGTTCAAAGTCAGCCTCAGCACTGGCAAGGCGCTAAGCAACTCAATGAGACCCTGTCTCTAAATACAAAATAGGGCTGGGGATGTGGCCCCCTGAGTTCAATCCCCAGTGCAAAAACAAAACAAATAATTTAGAGCTGGGGGTGTAGCTCAGGGGTAGAGCACTTGCCCAGCATGTGCTAAACATTGGAGTCAATTCACAAGACTACCAAAAGTAAATAAATAATTTAGAACATACTAGCTGCCATTTCCCCAGATGTCCTCAGATCTGAATCAATTCCTTTTTTGGCATCAACAATTAATTCACCAAATAAATCTTCCTATAAGTTACAGGAACTATTCCTCAAATATTCACTGAGCTGCTGCTGTATAAGGGTATAGCACTTTGTTAGGCTGGCAAGAAATTTTAGATGCAAAATTGCAGTCATATATTGTAAGCCATATATTAAAATATTAAAACTGCAAGTGTAAAATAACAATTCAAAAGATAGCCAGAGGCAGGAATAGGCGATGTCTGTTATGAAAGACAGTGTGCTTGACCCAGTTTTTTAAAGACTTTCTAAAATTAACTGTCCCATTCCTCTACAATTAGGAATTAAACTCTGTATCCTGGAAACGTTTTTTTTGTTGTTGTTGTTGTTGTTTTTTTTGTTTTTCTGCTGCCACTTTCTTCCACCCTTAATTTCTAAATGTCAGAGTATGCTAGAGTGAATCTCAAGAGGATTGGAAATAAGTCTCAAAAGGTGCAGTAGCTTCCCATATAGGTACCAAAGAGCTTAGCAGTCTTGAGCTGGGGTTATGGCTCAGTGATAGAGCTCTTACCAAACATGTGTGAGGCACTGGATTCGATTCTCTTGTAAATAAATAAATAAAGATCCATCAACAAATAATAAAAATATTTTTTAAAAAACGAGTTTAGTAGTCTTTACTTCATTCACTCATGCAAAAAAGTCTCTATTGTATGTGCCAGACACTATGCTAAGCAAAGTGAAAACGACAGATATGGCCCGGGTTTTCGTGCAGCTTTCAACCTCAAAATCTTCAGTCAACTTTATACTTAAGAATTGATTAGGGTCTCTAAAAAAAAAAAAAAAAAACTCAGAGAACCTCGGAATATAAAAGGACTGTAAAGAGACAAGTGTCCATTTTTCACATGGGGACTTTTAAGCCCGAAAGTGTTTTGCCAAGGTCACACTTGAGCATCTGTGACAGGGACTAGAACTCAGGTCTTCCGCAACTCTAGTCAGTGCCCCTGGGCGCTCCTCTCCCTGAGTGGAAGTGGTGCCCGAGGAAAAGCAAACCTCCTCAAATAAAGGTCCACCGTCACTCTCCCCCTCCTTGAAAGAGGGAAAAGCGCAGCCCAAACCAGGGGTAGGGAGAAGTGGAGAGCTGCCTCAGTTTCCCCGCGGAAAGGCGGCCACGCAGCCACGCTACAGCACAGGCTCCCCTCGTGCACGTCCTTCCACCTCCTCCCGCCCCGCCCTCCCCGATTCCAAGCCGGAGACCCGGCAGGCCACCACAGAAAACTGCTCCTGCACTCACAAGGACTCGCACCAGCAACGCCATGTTCCTCAACAACCATTTCCGGGTGAAGGGTGGCCTTCCGGAATCCCCGCTGCCACCACCACTTCACTACGTTCAGGGTTTTTTTTTCTTACGGGAGGGAGACAGGCAGCCGCGGCGCAGGCGCACAGGGGCGACGCTCGCGCTTGCTTCTACCCGGTGGCTGTGCACGTGGCTGTCGGGCCCAGCGCGCGCCGCCGCCTCGGGTCTCTCCTTTCTCGGTTCCACGTCACAGTGGCTCAAGCCCTCCCCCACGCCGCCTCATGGACCCCGGCTTTTCGCAGCCCTCTCCTCTACCAGCTCCCCAGCCTCACGCCTCAGCAACCCCGGGCCAGAGCCATTCCCCTCCAGACTGAGTCACCAGCAGGAGCTCTCCCTTTCCATGGGGACGGGACAGAACAGGACATTGATTGGGGCTGGGGTTGCAGCTCGGTGGTAGAGCGCTTGGCTAGCACGTGTGAGGCACTGGGCATTGGCTTCCTGGATTTCCTAACTGATAAGGGAAGTTTAGGAAAGTCTTGTCAAAAATAGAAACTGTGGGTAAGTGCTATGGAGGAAAAAATAAACTGAGGAAGTGACATATAAGATAATATCTAAAGGACAAGAAGAAGCTGGTCAAAGGAACTGACAAGGGTCCTGAGGAGGTCGCCCAGAAGGAGGTGGACCTCAACTGAGACCTGGAGAGTCCTTGATGTCGTCGCAAAGAAGGAATTTGAGGACAGGTTAAAATGAGGCACAGAATGAATTTATTGATGTTTTGAAATATGCATACAATATGGAATGTCTATTAACTTATGTATTACCTAACATTTTTTGTGGTGAAAACACTTAAAATCTACTTTCTAAGTGATTTTCAAGAATATGATATACTGTTATTCTCTATAATCACCATGTTGTTCAGTAGATCTCTTGAACTTGTGTGTGTGTGTGTGTGTGTGTGTGTGTGGTATTGGCAATTGAATCCAGGGGGTGATCTACCACTGAACTACTCTCCCAGTCCTTTTTTTTTTTTTTAAATAAGGTCCTGCTGAGTTACTAAGGCTGGCCTTGAACTTGCAATCTTCCTGCCTCAGCCTCTATGCCCTACTTAGCTGTCTTGAACTTTCTTTCTATCTAACTAGAATTTTGAATCCTTTGACCAGTATCTGTCTCCCCAACATAAACACTTTTATATGCCTGCTGGTCATTTGTATTCTTCTCTATGAGCTGTCTATTTTCAAAAATCCTTGGTAACCACCATTCTACTCTCCACTTCTATGAGTCAACTTTTTTAGACTTCACATATAAGTGAGATCATTTTGTATTTGCCTTTCTGTGCCTGGCTTATTTCTCTTAATAAAAAATCTTCCTGGTTGTAGCGAGGGGGCAAAATTGTGACATATGCAGTCAAGGGGAGAAATAAAGAATGTCCACGCGCTTCCACTGATCTCCTTAATGCTAGGCACTGCAATAGACATAATCAATTCACAGCAAACAATTCTAGATTAATTCTAGGCATTGCAAAACACACTTAATCATGACAGGCTAATGACAGACATTCCCTCTGCACACTTAGTTCAAAAGTCTCAAGCCTTAGGCTTTATGTCCAGCAGATGCGCACTCACTTAGACCGGGGTGATCAGGTCCAGAACCAAGGCAGGCTTTTCCTGGCATGGAGTGGATGACCAGTTGAGGAGAGGGTCATAGGGAGAAGTTGCGGCTCTCACCAGGGTCCAGAAGAGGCCGTAGAGTTTGAGAGTGGTGAGGATCATGCAGAGGATCAGGAAGGATGACAAGTGATGGGATGTCAGGTCCTCATCAAGCTCTCCAGCTCCAGGGCATCCTTGTTTCTGCTGGCTGAATCCCTGTTCATTTGCTCTATTATACTTAATTTGGGGACTTTTGACCTCCCTTTTAATTCTTATCAGCCACCCCTATTGAATTATTTGAGTTCCTTATATATTTTGGATATTAATCCCTCATCAGATGTATAGTTTGAGAATATTTACTTACATTCCATGGGTAGTTTCTTTGTTTTTATAATTTTTTAATATTTATTTTTTAGTTTTCGGCGGACACAACATCTTTGTTTGTATGTGGTGCTGAGGATCGAACCCGGGCTGCACGCATGCCAGGCGAGAGCGCTACCGCTTGAGCCACATCCCCAGCCCTTTGGGTAGTTTCTTTATTCTGATTTTTTTTCCTTTGCTGTGAAAAAGTGTTTTAGATAAGCCAGGAGCAGTGTTGCTTGCCTGTAATCCCAGTGACTCAGGAGGCTGAGGCAGGAGGATCACTACTTCAAAGGCAGCCTCAGCAACTTAGCAAGACTCTCTCAAATAGAAAAAATAAATGTCATGGAGATTTCCCCTTCTAAAGTTTCGGCTTTGATATTTATGTCTTGTCTAACATGGTACAGTTCATGTTAGATAAGCACTGTATCATTGTGAGTTGATTTTTGTATGTGGTGTGAGATAAGGGTCTAATTTCATTCTTCTGCTTGTGGATATCCCATTGTCCCAACACCATTTATTGAAGTAACTGTTCTTTCCCCATTTTGTGTTCTTGGCATCCCTATTAAAGATCACTTGACAGGGAGTGGGGCATGTAGTTCAATGGTAGCGCCTTTACCTAGCATGCGCAAGCCTTAGTTTCAATTCCCAGCACCTCAAAAAAAAGAAAGAAAGAAAGAAAAGAAGCCATCCATGGTGGTATATGCCATAGTCCCAGCTACTCAGGAGACTGAAGCAGGAGGATGATTTAAGCCCACAAGTTTAAGACCATCCTGGGCAGCATGGCAAGATCCCATCTCAGTTGACTATAAAAATATGGATTTATTTCTGGGGTCTCTATTCCATTCTCTCTATTGGTCTAAGTGTCTAAACACATGCAAATATTGGGAGGTTAGAGAGGGAAGGAAGATTCTAAGATAAGAATCCTGAGGTGAGAAATGTTTTTTATTTTTAGTGCATAAAATTGTTTTTGTTTTTTGTTTTTTTGTGGTTTTTTTTTAAAAGAGAGAGAGAGAGATCATTAATATTTATTTATTTATTTTTAGTTTCCAGCGGACACAACATCTTTGTTTGTATATGGTGCTGAGGATCGAACCCAGGCCGCATGCATGCCAGGCGAACATGCTACCGCTTGAGCCACATCCCCAGACCTTGTTTTTGTTTTTATACAAAATATAAAGATGTTGCCCATTAATCTTCCATTTGAAGGATTTTATAAGCCTAAATGAAAATACTTTCTATACACAATGGGTAACTTGCATGTACAATATTAGAAACCAATGATGTAGTGCTTCTATACATAAATTAGGACAACTTTCACTGCATATTAAAAGAGGAATAAAAGAAGCATTCTAGTTAATCAAATTAAAGAAGCAAAGTGACACAAAAACTGCTTTATTTTATCAGTTTTTTTCATTGCTATAGTGAAATACCTGAAGCAAACTAACTTGGGTAAAGAAAATAGGTATATTTAGCTCCTGTTTTTGGAAGCTCAAGGACATGGTGCTAGCAGGCATTGACTCAGTTCTAATGAGGGCCCTCTTGGCTGTGTCACATCAAAGTGATGGCAAAGACAGGAACACATGCAGGATCAAGTGTGGATACAAGCAATCACATTGCCAAAGGGAAGCCAGAGAAAGCCAGGAGGGAACAGATTCAGACTATATAACAGCACTGTTTTGAGAACAACTTTTATCACTTCCCAGTGGCAGAATTCCCAATTGACCTAAGGACCTCCCAGTAGGCCTCACATTTCAAAAGTTCCAAATCATCTCCCAATACTGCCACCCTCGAGACCAAGCTTCCAATACATGAATCTTTGAGAGACATATCCAAACCACAGCATATACAAATAAACGTATTTCAGTAATATGCACAAGAGATGATGGACTAAATGTTGGAGGCTAGAAAAAAGGTTGATATGTAATTTCCTTTCTGATGGCTTTGATTTTTCTCTGTGAACTGGGATAGGGGAGAGAGTTTTCCTATTCAAAAGAATGCAGATGGTATGGAACTGTAATTTAGAAGAGTAGTAAAAGTTTAAAGTTCAACAGAGAATAAAAATAAAGGGGTCAGAGGCTGGAGTTGTGGCTCAGTGGTAAAGCTCTTGCCTAGCACCTGTGAGGCACTGGGTTTGATACTCAGCACCACATAAAATAAATATATATATATATATATATATATATATATATATATATATATATATATATTTTAAGATGCTTAGATTGGCTCCCTGCTTAAAAATAAATAAATAAATAAAAAGTAAAAGAGTCGGGAAAATGGAGGTACTGGGCTGGGGTTGGTTGTGGCTCAGTGGTAGAGCACTTGCCTAGCAGTGTGTGGGGGTTCAATTCTAAGCATCGCATATAAATAAAGAAAAAAAGGTCCATCAACAACTAAAAAGTTTTTTTAAAAAAAGAAGAAAAAGAAAATTGAAGCCCTAGTAAAATTCAAACACTCTTCACTTTTTAAATTTTAATCTATTAATTTTAAATTAATAGGTGTTGTATGATTACATTTTTTTTCCAAAGACTAGCTTTATATTACAGATAAAGCTAAAGAATTTTGTGTGTGTGTGTGTGTGTGTGTGTGTGTGTGTTGCTGAGGATCAAACCCAGGGCCTTGCACATGCTAAGCAAAATGCTACAAAACTGAGCCCTATCTCCAGCCCAAGGCTAAAGTACTTTTTACCCACCATTTTGAATCCTAGCTCTTTCTACCCTCTCTAAAGTCAAAATTTTCTTCTAGATATATTTATTTGTTTATTTATTTATTTTTTAAAAGATAGAGTGAGATGGGGCTGGGGATGTGGCTCAAGCGGTAGCGCGCTCGCCTGGCATGCGTGCGGCCCGGGTTCGATCCTCAGCACCACATACAGACAAAAAATGTTGTGTCCGCCGAAAACTAAAAAATAAATATTAAAAAAAAAAAATTCTCTCTCTCTCTCTCTCCATCCATCTCTCACTCTCTCTTAAAAAAAAAAAAAAAGATAGAGTGAGAGAGGGAGGGAGAGAGAGAGAATTTTTAATATTTATTTTTTTTATTTCTCGGCGGACACAACATTTTTGTTTGTATGTGGTGCTGAGGATCGAACCCGGGCCGCACGCATGCCAGGCAAGCGGCTACCGCTTGAGCCACATCC